CTTTATCTATTGATTCAACTAATTATATCTTACCTGATATAGCAACAACAAACAAGTTGATCTACTGCTTGATATTGGTAACACTCTAGCTTCTGTATTTAAAGTAATTTCATGCATAGACTTTTCTACAGCTTGTGGTCCGAACTACGTACATGCTTTAGTCTTGCAGAAATAATCTTGCATTATCTGTTATAATCTTGCAGCGTCTGTCATCAATACTTTCAAAACTACTTACATATATATTCAAAACTGTTTATCAGAGTCTTGTTTTCCAGCCTGCTGGAAAGCGACATATGTTATCCCTACTTTCAAAAATTTTGAAGAGCAATCTGACTCATCTAATAACGGGCAAATGGTAACTGTTAATCTAATTCGGTAGTGGTTGAGCGCTTGCCTCATAAGCAAGAATTTTGCGTTCAATCCCCACCATTTCTCTGGTAACACCATGTCTCTAGTAGATGTTAAAAAATAAATAAACAAAAAATAACCAGAAATCTGTTGCTCCAATTAAAACGGTTATCTTTTCATAGTAAACAAAATCTAGTTTTTAACTTGCCTCAAAAAATTAGACGTTTTTCTCTCTGTGCTGTATTTCATTACGTTGTTTCTCAAATATACACCATCTTAAGCACCTTCTATCTTTACCTGAAACTTTACTGTTAACCTGTAGCTTTTCTACAGGTAAAACTCAGACTTTTTCTACTTATTCCCCAAATTTTTTCTCCTGAACTTTTTTCTTCTGAAGCTAACTTCATGCTGAACCCTAATTATTTGCATCTTATTAATTATTAATTTAAAAAGCCATTAAAGTAATTCCTGAAATATACTTTTTTTTAAATAATCATTACTTGACTTACAATAAAAATTACATCTAAAATTTCCTTATCTGGATCTTAAACCAAACTGTTTGTTATTGATAAATAGCTTATTTTGTTTTTTCTAAAATCTTTGTTTTTAAAAAGTTTTATTCCTTAGTAATGTTTTTTCAATTGAGTTTATAAACATTTGCCATTCCAGTTTTCTTCCAATAATTTTGGATTTTTCCTTCATGTACAATAGAATTGCATTGATGACCTACATCCTCTAAAGCCTTCAAAAGCTAAGCTAATACACCAGGATTAGCAGACTTGCAGTATTCTCTTTTTACTTTTACCTTGCCAACAACTTTCTTACATTATCAAAAGCAATGTAAAACTTTTTTTTTTCTTGCTTTTTTTCTCTTATCTTAAATGTTTGAGGTATAATTTTTATATTAATTGCCCAAAATTAATACAATCACTTGACCTTTAATCCTTTTAATCACAAACTTTTTTTTACACTGACACCAGCAACCAATGACAAGAAAAAAAAAATCCAATTCAACATTTATACCATAAAACTAGTCTAAAGTATTTATTTTTATTTTACCATTCAGTGTTATTTAACAGTTGAATAATACTATTGAGTAAATGAATAAAAAAAAAATATATATATATATAAGCAAATATACTATATAAAAAATGTATATATATATATATATATATATATATATATATAAACACACAAACATATGAGCAGTAATTAGTAAAAAACACTTATCTACTGTTTTTTTCTACTGGCAGCCTCTATTTCTGTAGGATTATCTGGAAGTATTATGTACCATCAGAGTTTTATATATATATATATATATATATATATATATATATATATATATATATATATATATATATATAAAATTATGATAGAAAAGTTTTCCGATTTGAATACAGTTCTTCTTCATAGTGTCATCGATTCGACTAACAATATTGGAATGCTGTACAAAAATCATTGTAACTAATAAATTAAAAAATTAAATTGCAATTATCATTAATCCATTTGATTGCTTTGATTTGTAATACAAGTAGAACTGATTAAAACATGATAAAAAATTCTGTACCAGAAGACATTTAAAAACCTTTGAATATATTTTCCAAAAAAAAATGCAATTGAAGCATTGTCAAACAGAAGCTCTAGAGAAAAAAATGCATTAATCACATAACTTATTCTTGTAACTTTAGAATAACTAATCAATAATAAAAGTGTTATTCTAGACATATTTTCTCAAATTTGATGACTTCACTGCACAGAAGTGTAAATGCTAAGCCAATAATTCAATAGTTAAGTTATAGTAGTAACCAAATAAATATAAGTATCAAATGACATGCAAACCCCACTGAATATTATGTAAGTTAAAATTGCCACAAAGAAAGTTTTGAGTGCAAGTCACACTTAAATAACAATTACAAACTGACATCTCTTACAAGCAAACACACTTAATTAAAACTTTAAAGATGTAATTGTGTGTGTGTCTGTATGCATGTGTGTGGGTGGTTGTTTGTGTATGTGTGAGACACATTTAAACACTCAATTACATCTTTAGATACAATTGAGTGTGTCTGCTAAAAAGAGATAACTCCAGTATTGGGTTCAAAGATCTGGATTTCAATGGCAAGGAGGGTCACCAAAGCATTGAGATTGTAAACCTACCCATAAGAACATTTACAGTCGTCATCTTTATGAATGTTTATTTTATTTTCAGTGTGTATATAATCAATCATAATTTACACTTTTATTAATAAGATTGCAAAACTTTTCGGAAGTACTGTAAACTACAGTGTAATTTGATTGAATAAAGCCTAATGTAAATAAAGGACTATTGTTTATTTACATTAGCTTTACAGCTTATTATAAGCTTGTATATAGCCTTAATATAGCCTAACATAAGTCTAATATAGCCTTTGAAAGGCTATATTATGGAACAGGATATGTCCATTCGTTTATAAAAGTTCGTTTTCATGTTTATCTATTTATATAATAGCTCACCTTTTTGTTGTAAGCTGCAACTGTCACATTGTGCCTTTGACTTACAGGATGAAAATTAGCTTTACAAAAATTAGATATAAAGATATCGGCTTCTTCAAAACTCTCAAAAGATTTTCCAATTGATAGGCTACTCATTTTATGTCCAGGAGTAATCTCAAAAATAAAGCATGTACGCAAAAACGTGTTTAAACGTTAAACTAGCGCATGCGTTAATTTTCAGCCGCAGAAGCAATTTTTATTTGCTTAGAGCGGCTGAATTTTCAGCCGCAAAAGATTTATTCATATATATATATATATATATATATATATATATATATATATATATATATATATATATATATATATATATATATGTATATATATATGTATATATATATATATATATGTGTATATTTATATATATATAAATATATATATAAATATATATATATATATATATATATAACCAAATGTATATATATATATATATATATATATATAACCAAATGTATATATATACATATATATATACGTATATGTCTTAATACATGTTAATTTCTACAATAAAAACTATAAGTTTTACCTATATTTACCATTAATTTAATTCCCAGACTTTCTGATTACATATAAATATTTCCCACTATGATGGCTACCTTGTATTAATATATATTATTATGAATATATAATAATACATTATATAATTATTTATATATTAAAATTATAACTCTTACCAGTTTCATCTTCTTCCACTCCTAGATACATAACAAAATGAAATTTCTAGGTACTTAAATAACTAAGCACATACAACATTAACAATAACTGTTACCTTTACGTAATTACTGAAAAGAATACTGTTACATTTAAATAGAAAAAACAAAAATAGTTAAAATTTAGAGATATATATGAATATAAGTATAGTTTCAAATTTTTAAAATAAAGAACAGAAAAAAAAAAAAAGTAAACGGCATACGATTTCGCTTGAGTACTTCAAGGTCTAAATAAAAATAAATTTAAATAAATCTGAACAATGCCAGTTGCTGGAATTTATAAACAATTCTAAAGTTATAATAAAACAACATTATTCATTAAAAATGAATAAATATATTCCTTAAAACAAATATAAAATAATTCATTAAAACAATATTACACCTAATATAAATATAAGGCCTAAATATCTTTCAAATATTCTTCATCGTCATTATTAGCTATTTATTAAATTATAATTTTTTATTATAAAAAAATAATTTAAAAAAATAATCTTGTTTCTATATAAAAATAACCATCTTTTAAAAACGAATGAGCTAAAGTTTGACGCGCTTTCTATGTCAGCGTTTTTAAAAAAATATTAATGGTCTTTCGGTGCATCTTATCTAGGGCTAACCTGAAAATTATTCCAAAATCTGCTGTTTAGATTTTTAAATAAAGTGTATTTGCTCCTCTTTAAAATCAGCGAATTAGATTACTTATATTTCTACCTATACTGAGCAAGTATAGGGTTTCAAAATATGCATCTCGCCGAGGCTTATACATATACACAACATACATATACACACATACATACACACACACACACACACACACACACACATATATATATATATATGTGTGTATATTTATAAATATACATATATATATATATATATATATATATATATATATATATATATATATATATATATATATATATATATATATATATATATATATATATGTATGTGAATACATACATATATATATATATAAATATATATATGTATGTAAATTAATATATGTATAAATATATATATATATATATATATATATATATATATATATATGTGTGTGTGTGTGTGTGTGTGTGTGTGTGTGTGTGTGTATGTATGTGTGTATATGTATGTTGTGTATATGTATAAGCCTCGGCGAGATGCATATTTTGAAACCCTATACTTGCTCAGTATAGGTAGAAATATAAGTAATCTAATTCGCTGATTTTAAAGAGGAGCAAATACACTTTATTTAAAAATCTAAACAGCAGATTTTGGAATAATTTTCAGGTTAGCCCTAGATAAGATGCACCGAAAGACCATTAATATTTTTTTAAAAACGCTGACATAGAAAGCGCGTCAAACTTTAGCTCATTCGTTTTTAAAAGATGGTTATTTTTATATAGAAACAAGATTATTTTTTTAAATACAATATTTTCATGAGACATAACGATGTCTATTGACAAACATATAACTTTTAAAGTTATTTCTTCTAATTATACCAAGTCGAAATTGGTTGGTTTGTCTTTGACCAACACCTGAACAGTTGCCATTATCTTCAGTGTTGTCAACTGCATCCTCAATAATTACTACGTTGTCTGGATCTTCTAAACCAAGTGAATTGCACATGTTTTCGAGTATTACACTAGTATAAATTATTGAGCAGCACTTGGATGGGGTATATTGAAGTGTTCCACCACTTTTATGTAGACACCATCGGTTTTTAAGACGGCCAAAACAACGTTGTATTTCACTTCGAACCCTTGAGTGAATTTTGTTAAACAATATTTCTTCAGGGTTTAATGGAGGACTAAATGGAGTAATCATGACAGGTGATAACCCGTAGCCTGAATCACCGAAAAGAAAACCTGAAGCTGGATCAAGCTCTAATGTTTGTTTCAAAGTTGAAGTTGAATAAACAAAAGCATCGTGACACGATCCTGGAAATTTGATAACAGCATCTCGGAACTGTCCATCTGGATCAACAACAAACTGGCAGTTTATAGCAAAATAGCCCTTTTTTAAAAATAAAGTTACACATTATGCTTAGTAAAATCAATGAATTTTTATGAGTTAGAATACAGACTCTGAAACTAAAACTTTTTACATCTGATCATTTTAAATCTTACAGAAAATATATATGAATAAAAAATAAATGTTTGCATCTGGTGGTTGGATGGTCAAGGGGTTGAATTTGAAGCATAACTTCAAATTCAACCCCAACCACATGATATTCGAGTTGGCTCATTTCGAAAAAAAAAAAAGTGTATGCCCTCTAAAAGAAAAAGAAGATCCTCAAAACTTCTGTGGGTCTCCTTAGCTAAAAAATGGGGGGCCTTTTTTCTTGCCCCCAGCAGCTGAGCTATAGACCCATAGCTGGAAGGAGATCATCAATCATATTATTTATCTATTATTCTATCTATTTGTATCATTCCTACTTATAGATTACAGTAAACTATTTTTTACCTGCAAATAAAAGCTGGCTCATCAGCCCCTGTGGCTTCTTTGATGGGCACCATTGTACCATCAATTAGACCCAAAAGACCCTTTCCTCCCCAAGCTTCAAAGTATCTTCTTTTTACTTAAACCATTTCCTCTTGGCTACTGTACCATTTTACAAGATAGCTGTAGTGTTTAATAAAAAATTTACAAAACTGATGAATAACTCTACAGGTGCTTGTCTGGCTTATTGCAGAAGTGTCTCCTAAATTTAATTAATAATAAATTTTAAAAGTTTCATTCAGATGTAGAAACCTCTGGAATGTTTATATTTACCAAAACATTTTTAAACATTTATGGTTTTATACAAAATATGTAAACTCGCTTAGTGATATAATTTGCGTTAATTTTAAAGATCATATTTGGTTTTTGTGTCTTAAAAAACCTACATTAAAAATGAGATTAGCTTATTCATTAGCTTATTCATTATTTTTGTATAACAATATTAATGCAGTTTTACATATTAAACACATAAATCAATTTAAACATATTAAAAGTTCCTACCAATAGTATTTTAAAAGCTTCCTGTTGCTAGAAATCTTAGGGCAACAAGAACTTTTGTTTCTGGTGAAATGGGATTGTTTTTATCTGTTTTTGGAGACAAATCAATTTTTAGAATGTTAATAATTTCTGATATTTTATGCAATGGTAATCGAAATTTTCGACGACATTCAAAATCTGAAAAATCATTAAGGACAGTGCGCTAAACTGTTCTCCAATTTTGATTTTGTAATTCAATTTCTTGAATCAATTGAACATCCATTTCAATTAAATTAAACTTGAATTTTAAACTAGTCAATATTTTTATAGTAATTTAATAATTATATTGCAAACAGGTATATTATATTAAAATAAAACATAAAACATTTTTAATACTGTGACTGTTTGAGCTAAACTCGGGTGATTCTAATTGTTTTTTGTTATATATACATATATATATATATATATATATATATATATATATATATATATATATATATATATATATATATATATATATATATATATATATATATATATATATATATATATATATATATATATATATGTATATGTATATATTTATATATATATATATTTATATATATATATATATATATATACATACGTACGCATAAAAAGTTTCTTTTTATGTATGCAAGTATCGCTATTATAAGTATGCAAGCTGGTTGATACAAAAACTCTTGGATACATTTTTCTTTATTTTCATATCAGCTAATCTAGATTTTCATATCAGATAGTTTTTAGAAGAATTATTATTTTATATAATTATTTTTAATATATTATAGGACTGCTTGTATTATTCTTGCCACACTTACCTTTGAATCTTTAAACTGATGGCTAATCAGATCATCAGTTGGGGCTAGGTTTGTGACCGGGCTGTATAAACGTTTTTACATCCTGAAGATTTTTTTTTAATTCAAAATTTATGTTATATTTTGTGTATATATACATATAAAAATACCATTATGATCAACAAGATCATCATTATCATCATAACCAATACCGTGTTCAAGATCATGATCTTCATCACCATCATTAACATCTGGCTTTAGTCTTTCTTACTTATAACACTAATATAAACATTAGAGCATTTTCTTTTCTTAGCTAAAGCTAATTCATACAATCTGTAAGGGATTCTCTTCAAGTTTTCTTACTTCTACCACTTCTATTTAATTCTGAAGCTGCTACCTATCTCATGCTAATACCCAAATCACTTAAAACTTCTTTAGCAAATTTTGTTAGATACATTGTTTTTTTCTAATCTGTCAAAGATTATGCCTCTTTTTCTTCTAAGAGTCACACCACGCATCCGTCTGATCAGCTTCTCTTTCTGCAAATACTTTATCATATAAATAGTAAAGTTTATATAAATATGTAAGAATATTGCCAGCATCTAAATAAATAGTAAACATAAGTTTATATCATAAGTTATATGTTATAGTTATGTATTTACAAATGCACATCTTTTCATGATTCTGATCTTTCATCGGTCTGATCTTTTTAATTCTCTTTACAATAGGGCAGTGTTATTTGGAAAGAACTTTTACTCTTACGTAACACAGAAATCTAATGGCCATACTGTTCTTGTCAAACCAGTTAAATAGATTAACCAATTGTTAAACAAATCACTTTGGCTTCCAATGCTAAAGTTAATTCTCAATTCAATACTTTTACAGATTGTGTAACAGCAACTGGGAAGATTTATATGAGACTCAAAGTAATTGAAATCCTATATATATCCTATAAAGTATGGTAGTTTTTTGTAGCTCAAGCCAAGTTTCGAAATACGGTTTAAAAATCGTTTTTTTGCATCGCCCTGATCGCTTCATTTTGCATCTCATATAGTCGTTATACTAATATAGAGAAATATCATCTCAGCAATTTTAATAGTAAAAGTTTTAATATACTGTATTAGTATTTATTTTAACACAAATTGCTCCATAAAACTTTTTGTTTTTCGGAAGAATTCAATAAAATGTCGTGTTCTTTTAAAATTTATTTATTTAACTATCAATAAAAACTTATACGCGTTCGTTTTTTTATTGTTAAAATATTTCATATTAAAGTGAATCATCACGGTAGCCAGCAGACCTTGATTTCAATATTCTGTTATCATGTTTTCCTCGATTTTTATATATTCCTAATACAGATCGAAATTGTGGGTTGTTTTACACCTCATCCACCGTCGTTGTTACTTGGGTTTATGATATTTACCAAAATTTTATAAAGCAGAAACAAAGCCTGAATTTCAGTTCTGGGAGTCGAGAAAACATTAATTGGGGATCGTCCATAAATTACGTAACGCGAAATTAAAATTATAGACAAATACGAAGCATTAAAAGTTTTCCCTTGCGGAGTCATCAATTAAACTAAGTATATAAACAACCATTAAAGTCCAGCGAAAACCACCGCAGCGCAGAAGAGCAAAATGATCTCCTACTTATAATTTTAAAATAAGTTTTGCGTTGCGTAATTTATGGACGATCCCTTAAAAGTCATACAGAAAAATATTTAAGCTAAACATAGTGATGCGGGGGGTACTAAATTGTTTTTTAACATCTTATTTTTTATTATGACGCGTCTGTGAAAGCTTTGAACTGAATATCGATTTTTTTTTAATGTCTGCAAAGAAAAAATAAGAAAGCCTAAAACTACACAGCGTAATTAAGGCGAGATCAGAGGAATTTAAATTTATCGAAAGTTAAAATTTACGTTTTTAAATTTCTTTTAATTTTTTTGTGTTTACCACATATTTTAGAAATTTATTATACACTTAAATATTTTTTTTAATTTTTTTTTTTATGATTAATTATCAAATAAAACGTGACGGTTAGCATGTCTCTTATTTAAAAAATAAAGATTCTTTGTGTCTGACCAAAAATATACGAAAAATGGCTAAAAATATATCTCTTTACCTTATCCGTAAACAGTAAAACATTAAAATCGAAGTTTTCACATTAATTTTTACTTCAGACAAATTATTTCTAAAATCACCTAATAGTCGTTCGAATAAATTACCTTAAAAAAATATTTTAGTTTTATATAACTCTTGCCCCGTAATAAGCTAAAATTTGAAACTCTTAGAAATATAAATCACTGAATTATTATAAACAAAATATAGCAATGAGTTTTAAGAAATAAAATAAAAAAGAATAGACTTATCAGAATGCAGGAAAACAACAACCTAAACGCATTATTTTTCTATGGATCTCCCTGAATACGCGATATTTGATTGTTCTCCCTGACTACGCGTATTTAATTGTTTCCAAAATCAAACATTTATTCAGGTAAATAGAAATATGCATTAGCGAAGTTTTAATACCTTTCTAACTACTCTGCATAAAATACAAAATAATTAGATATTTTTTTTATTTTTATTAATGTCTGTGAAGAAAAGAATCAGAGCCTAGTATCCAATATCTTTTTATTAATTTAATTCAATGACATCTAGGTTTTCTTGAAATGTCAATTGTATTTAGGGTTTTTAATTTTTATGAAATGGCTATTTTTCGAAATCCAGGGTGGCCAGCAGTCCTTGAAATCCTGGAAAAGTCCTAAAATTTTTTAGATCCTGGAAAAGTCCTGGAAAAACACCCTCTTTAACAAAAAATTCTGGAAATCCTGGAACTTTTTTTTTAGAGTTCAATATTCCGTTTTCTTGTTTCCATCTTTCACAAAACTTTTCGTTTAATTATGTATTTTCTGGTATGATGAAAATATTTTTATTTATTTTACTATCTGTATTATTAATTCCACTAAATATTTGGTAAAGTAGAATATACAAATAATGTATATAACAATTAAGATATAATATAACTAACATAACGCCCAAGTCAAAGAACTGTCGTTTCCAAACAGAATGGCTCAATAATAAAAATATTCTTCTTGGGTAAAATTATGTTTTTCAAAGAAAGCAAGATGTAATTAGTGTCAAAAAATATATATATATTATATATAATGGTAAGCATATATATATATATATATATATATATATATATATATATATATATATATATATATATAGATTGATAGATATAATATTGTGGTCAGCGTCATCGATTACTTGATGACGCTGACCCCAATAGGTCAGCAAAATATCATTAATATATTATTATATCAAATTATATTTAAAAAATAGTTACACGCTGCCTTTTTTATTGAGATCGATTTATATATTTATAAACATATCGTTTAACAAGATGTATATATATATATATATATATATATATATATATATATATATATATATATATATATATATATATATATATATATATATAGATTGATAGATATAATATTGTGGTCAGCGTCATCGATTACTTGATGACGCTGACCCCAATAGGTCAGCAAAATATCATTAATATATTATTATATCAAATTATATTTAAAAAATAGTTACACGCTGCCTTTTTTATTGAGATCGATTTATATATTTATAAACATATCGTTTAACAAGATGTATATATATATATATATATATATATATATATATATATATATATATATATAATATATATATATAGATTGATAGATATAATATTGTGGTCAGCGTCATCGATTACTTGATGACGCTGACCCCAATAGGTCAGCAAAATATCATTAATATATTATTATATCAAATTATATTTAAAAAATAGTTACACGCTGCCTTTTTTATTGAGATCGATTTATATATTTATAAACATATCGTTTAACAAGATGTATATATATATATATATATATATATATATATATATATATATATATATATATATATATATATATATATATATATATATATATATATATATATATATATATACATGTATATGTTTGTATGAGTTTGTACAATTTTATTTGTACAAACTTTACATAAATATATGTATGTATATATGATTAATATTTAACACAAACAATTATATGTATGTATATATGATTAATATGCGTATTCAAATATGAATATTTAGTTGTTTTATTCTAAGGCAAAATATTTTGCATTTACTGGTCCATTTTATTATCGAGAAAAAATCAATATATCCTTGAATAACCCAAAATTTCTTTGAAAAATCCTGGATATATCCTGGAATTTTAAATTGGCTTTTAGCTGGCCACCCTGAAATCATTCATACAACAAAAAATCTTGTTAAAAGAAGCATAGTTTACACTGAAAAGAAGCATAGAAACATTTTTTTTTTCAACAAAACTATAGCTTGGTTACCTAAAATATAAAGCGTCTGCCCTACTTTAGAATGCTTTAGAATAGAATTTAGAAATATATATATATATATATATATATATATATATATATATATATATATATATATATATATATATATATATATATATATGTTTATATATATATATATATATAAAAAGTAAGTAAATATATATATATAAATAAGTAAATAATAAAAAGTTCAAAAATTTTTTAACAATGTTTCTAGATTAGATTTTATTGCCCTTTAATGCTGGGAACTAAAATTTTAAAACTTTTAAGTTAAAGTTGGTTATTTTCGATTTTTACATGTATTTTGAAAAGAAAGCGTCCTTAGCAACATCTTTGCAAAAACTCAAAGACAGTTTTATGACCAAAAAAATATTTTTACTTCAAGTTGTTTTTAAAAGATAGGTAAAATATTTTGATGGTTTTGTAACCTATTAATTTAGAAGGTATACCGATAATCCATCAAAATTATATAAATATTGATATTAAAAAGAACTAGTTTTTTTTTTTGTTTTTGTTTTAATTTACCGTCAAGTTTACATTTCGAGCTTATATCGAGTTAACTCTTGCACAACGGAATGAAAGGTAAACATTGAAAACAATTTAGACATTTAGTTGCACTCTCTTCTGATTGCGAAAATCATCTTTTGAAGATAGTAAACGTTCTTTGTGATTGGAAAATGCATCATTTGTACCAGGTCTATAAATCTTTTTTAAAGCCTAAAAAACTATCCATGAAACCCCGTGGGGGGAAGAAGAGGGTTTGCTTGATATTTGATTGAAATAACATTTACTATCAAAGTAACTCTGACATGCGGGTTTGTGAACTTGCATACACAAAAGTGTATGCAAGTTCAGTGTACTTGCATACACTTTTGTGATTTTTTGAAATATATTTTTATTATATATTGATATTATATTTTTTAATTTTTTCAAAGATTTTGCAAGTTGTACTAAGCACAGTCTCCATAAAACAACAAAAAACAATAACAACAAAAAAAACGCAAATAAAATCTACTTAATAAAAACAACGGAATAAAATCTA